AATTCCTAGTAAAGCTTGGAGACACTCAAATTTTTAAGCCAAAATCTTTTAAACAGAACTCCACATATAATTTCATTACTAATTTCTTTGCTTCTCCTCTAGTTCAGTATAACTCTATTTGTTTTAACTTATTACTAGATCATTTAGAACTCTGGTTTATCCGAAGTTCCATTTTTTAATTAATACTTCCTTTTTTAGTAACATTTTAAATTTTATTTTTAGCTAACCTATTTTTAGTGAGTCACTATTTTTGGTGCTTGTGATCTTGAACTCCAGATCTCTAACATGGAACATAGTTTTCTTATATTTGGAAAAGGTCCTCAAGATGTTTCTGGTGAACTATGGAATCTTTTTCATACACTTGTATGCTTTTTTAAATAGATGTTTAACTTAATAACATAAAACATGCACACTGCAGTGAGGATGCAAATTTTACTGTCATCTGTATTTTTCCACAGATTAAAAACTTGTTTATGTAGTTATCTATATAGTGTCCTTACAAATAACCACAAAATTGGAAAAAAATCGGTCATTGCATTTCATAGTATGCCTTGTAGAGGGCAGCAGAGAACTTAGATTTTGTTTTTTCTTGCCTGTAATATGGCTTTCCTAGCCTAATTTCCAATTGCTTGTTATTGTTCTAGGTAAAAGTAAATAAAAGCAATACCTTGTCCATAAAAAATATTATAATTCTTAAGCTCTAGTTTATTTCTAAATTCCAGTTTTTCACATTAAAAGGGGAGAAAAGGTAAGTAGCCTAGCAGTCCTTTTTTTATGCGGAAAGGAAGATGTTATCTTTCCCTTTCCCTCATTCATATTTTAGGAAAGAAAGCATTAAAGACTCCATGGAAGCAGGACAGAGGCTGTAACTAAGCCTGGTCTCTGAAAACCAGTAATTTTATCAATAACTTGATGCCTTTTACAAAGCTGCATTATTACCTTTAGATAACTCAGTTACATTTTCACGTTTATAAATTCTAGATGTTCTACAAGAAAAGACACTGACCAGTCTGTGCCAGTTGCCATTTTTAGAAAGTCGTAATAAATAGTTGCTTTTGATTACATGATAAAGTATGACCAATGATTGAAATAGGATCTCTTCTAAACTTAAACAACTGGAACTATTATCTTTTCACTTACCCTGCACTTTGCTATTAAAAGGCTATAAGGCAACTAGTCTCAACTCTTTGTATTGTTTCCTTCTCGATAAAATATTAGCAATTGTTTAGTAAACACGACTAGCCTGGGATTCGGGAGCCTTAGGTTTCATCTTAGCTGTGCTGCCAACTAACACTTATCGAACACTCAGTATGTCCCAGAACATGCACTAAAGGTTTCACATGTGTTGTTGTATCTGGAGGGTGTGCAGCAGAGCAGACCGAATTTGAGTCTCTGTCCAGCCACTGATTAAGCAGTCACCTTTGGACAAGTTTCTTAAACTTTCTGAATCCTGGTTTCCTTGCTCTTTAAAATGGAGATAATAAGAGGTACTTCACAGAGGTGATTAAAATAAGTAGCTACACAACTTACTTTGGAATTTGTCTTGTATCAGGTGTCTCTCCACATGGCCCACTTCTGTGGTCTCGCATGCATAAAGCCCTAGCGCAAAGTAAGACCTTAATTCCCCTTCCCTTTTCACCACCATTCTTCAGGTTTCCTCCTGAGAGATGTGAGGAGGACAGGCTGGTGATCGGAGGACTTGCTCAACCCTCTGGTTTTGTGGAGCACGGAGATGAGACTCAGCATTCTCCCAGGACACCAGCTGGACATTCGCATGTTCATTGTTGCTTTTTTAGGTACTGTCTGACACGATTAGATCCCAAACCTACATGTTCAGAATGAAACTAAGTGTTGGCAAGCAGGGATGTTGGTGAATGTGACTGTCCTCACTAGACCCTGTTGTTTCATGCCAGTCTTTCTTCTGCCTTTACCTCTTGGGTCCCCAGCTGACCGAGGGAAATGAGAGATATCCCTTCCTCTCATTATCCTGGCCTCGCCGCTGTCAGAACTAAATGGAAAAGCATCGTTTTGAGAACGACATCAGGCAAGTCCCAGGAGCACTCCCTAGCATCGTCTTTCCTAACGCTCACTACACGTTATCCTTTACTCCCTTATGAAGCTACTTGACCATTTTTTAACTCATGAAGTTAACTGAACCAAACTACTGGGTTCCAGCCTAGGCTGTTCGTTAGTTCTGTGAACTTGGGCAGTTCACTGTCCTTACCTGTAACATCACTCAGGTGCTTGCATGTCCAGGCTACCTGGAAATACCTTCTATAGTCATCCCCTCACAAGGCCAGCCACATCACACACATTGCCCGGGTGGGACCAGACAGTAATGACAGATGGTGACATAGAGCCGATCTCCAGTACTTTAAAAAATAAACTCACAGCAGAAAGATGAATGATCAGTATCATCTTGTGTACAGAAGGCTTTGGTAGCTATAGAAAGGCGACAGCAGTCCTTTTTGCAAGAAGGCGCACTGTTCTGCAAACCGTGATCAACTATTGTGTGTAGCTTATTTGTCATTATGGTCTGTGCCCACTGTTTTTTCTTCCTTTCCACTCTTCAACCCCTGTAATTTACCTCTGTCTTTACTCCCCTGAACTAGCACACTTGATTTCCTCATTAAACTTATAATCACTAAATCCATGGATTTTTTTTCTTGCCCTCCTTAACCTCTTTGCTGTAATGAACACTTTCCTCCCTTGGTTTCTTGCTTTGTTTTCTTTCCTTCTGAATATTCCTTTTGCAAAATTCTCTTTCTGTTTGCATTGTTCCAGAGTTAGGTCCTTGGACTGGTGTTCTTTTTGTCCAGATTTTCTCTCCCAGCATCTCCTTCACTCCCAGAGCTTCGATTTTGATCTCTGTGTGTCTGACTCTCCAGCCTAAATCTACCCTCCAGCCTCTTTTCTGAGTCCTCATCCAGCATTTTCAACTACTAGCTGAATATTTTCATCTGCATATTCTTCTGCCACCTCAGACTCAGTATATCTAAAGTGAAAATTAGAATTTTCTTTCAAAGCTTGTTCCTTTGTATTTCTTTACTTGCATTAACAATTCCCCCCTCCTAAGCCGGGCTCGGTGGCTCAGCTTGTAATCCCGCGCTTTGGGAGGCTGAGGTGAGTGGATTGCCTGAGCCCACGGGTTCGGGACCCGCCTGGGCACCTTGGCGAGACCTCATCTCTACAGTAAATCAAAAAATTCGCCGGGCATAGTAGCGCGCGCCTGTAGTTTCAGCTCCTTGGAAGGCTGAAGTGAAAGGATCACCAGAGCCCAGCAGGCCGAGGCTGCGGTGGCCGGGAGCGGCCAATGCACTCTAGTCTGGGTGACAGACTCAAAAAAAAAAAAAAAAAAAAAAATTCCCCCCCCCTGTTTTAAAAACCTTGGGCATCTTTGACTTCTTGCATATATCCTTTTTCCTTTCCACTCCCCCTACCTTAGGCAGAGTTCTTGATACCTGATTGTGATTTTTGCATGAAGTTTCCAGTCCTCTTTCAACCACCTCAAACACCAGCCACATGTGTCGCATTACAACAAAGCTCTCATTATCTCTCTCACCTGCTCAATAAAGCCATCTGCTCCATCCGTCTTTACCCACAGTCCGTGACCTCGCAGTGTGGGTTCCCGCCCCCATCCTCCTTGCACTTTTCTCTTGGTCAAACGTCGAAAAAAAGCATGGCATTCAAGGCCCCGCTGCCATAGCCTCTTAAACTGCTTCGCCAGCATCTTTCCAGCCACATGTTAGCTCATAAGACTACCAGAAATGGTTTCTCTTGTACTTACTAGCTATACAACTTGTTTTGGAATTTGCAAAGGCTGTCTTATATCAGTTATCTCTCCATATGGCCTACGTTTGTAGTCTATGAATACTTACAAAGGTCTGTTAGCACCTTAGGAGGAGATCTGAAATCTAGTTTTTTGTTACTAAGCATCTAGAATACTGCCTTTTACATTGCAGGTTTCTCTGATCCCAGTAGATCCAAAGAACAGAGATGTTTTTTGCAAAGTACTGGCACTGTATCATAGTAGCATACAGTTAAGGTGGAGTTTTACCATTCAGAATAGAATATAGCAAATCTGCTTCATAGCAGGCCTGTCATGCCAAACCATCAGAAGTAGTGTTTTTCTTAAAGGAAAACAATTTGGACTAGAAATTGAGAGACTGTCATGGGCGTGTGGCTTCAGGCAAGTCACTCTGCGGGTCCTGTTGCTTCCTGTAAAATGCAAGCCCTTGCCAGTAGGCCTTTTGACACCCTCAGGATTGTGCTGAGATTCCGTTTGGAGAAGGACCCTGTCACACTAAAAACAGAAATCACCCTCTATGTAGTCGTGTTATAAAACATCTGGTACACAGATATCATCAGGTTTATAAAACATAGAAATGTCTGCCGTTAAGTCTAAGAAACACTGAGCTAGCCCAGTTCCACTTTACCTGTAACCTGGTGGGAGATTTACTTCAGGAATAGAGTGGACTGATGTGTGCCTACTGTATTTACCTTGCTGTTCTTGGGGGAAAAGGTGGAACCATTTTATAAGACTTGGATAATTTTACAGTTGTGAATGTGCTTGCGCTTCTGTTCAGTAAAAGCAAGTTCCTGGACAATTAGGCTTTTCTTTAGTTTATACAATCATTGCGCCTTGAATTCCAAGTTTTCTTACTTGGAAGTTGTCAAGTCCATACTAATTTCTTTTTAAGGCCGTGAGGTTTTATAGAAAAAGTCACCCTGTCTGTGACTAAGCACTAGAGTAAACTCGGATAGCAGTTTGTTTTCTGCCGGGAATGCTTTTTTTATCAGGAAGTTTCTGCCTAGCATTAGCCCGGCTTCCTTCTCGCTTCTCCCTGACCGGAGACATTCCAACCCTGCTGCTAAAGAGCTTGCTCTCACTGGGCAAAGTTGGGAGGCCGAGGTGTGCCCAGCCGTCAGTCAGCCCGTCACGTGGGCCGCGGGCCCCGCCCCGAGCCTTGTTGGCTGCGGCCCCGCCCCCAGAACCCTGGGTCTGCGCCGGCTTCCGCGGCCCGCAGAAGCGGTCAGCTCCCCGCCGCGGGAGGCATGGGCACGTGGCTGCCCGGGTGGCCGAGCACACCGGAGAACAGCCCGCGCGCCTCTGCGGGGCTTCGGAGCAGGGCTGACGCGGGTGGTGCCTGGAAGCGGCTGAAGGCGTGCTTGAAGCATGGTGGCGCATGATGAGATCGGAGGTCTCCTGCCTATTAAAAGGACCATACGAGTCCTGGATGTGAACAACCAGTCCTTCCGCGAGCCAGAGGTAAGAAAGACCTCAAGACAAGCGCGAAAGGAGTGTCTTCTGACTCCACGGAGCTTTTAAGATTTTTAGCACTTTGTGAGCAGTACAGGTTAAGCTTTTCATCTTACCGTTAAAATGTATGGCCTTGATGTGCGTGCAATTTGAACGGTGTTCAAAAGGGACCGTGGTCTAAGTTGAAATAGTTTTTTATCCATAGCATAGCTTGAATGTACACCGCTGTTATAAAAAGAAGAAGAAATGTATATTCTACTCTGTTTGGTAAAATTTATCCTGTCTCTGATGCGTAATACAGTCGTTGTTGTCTCTAATTTGTATTTATATCACCTAGTCTTAGGAACTGCCTTAATGGGTTAAAAGCAAAAATAAGAACCCCTTCCTTGTAAATGAATGCTTGAGCACATTGCAACTCAGATGGTCTCACCTGGTACACGTTTTCGTTTCATATCGAATAAGTTCATTGTGTGCCTCTTTTTCGTCAGAACAAGATATGTTAGAATATTAAACCAGTGAATCGGTATTTAAATTCTGCCCTCCTTGCTTTAATTGTCAAAAGTCTGTGTGGACTTTTTAAAAAGCTTTTATGAACATTTATCAAAATAATTTGGTTTTGTGCTATTTTACATAATTTTGATAGTGAACTTAATAGATATGGTTTTCTGTTTGTACTGCATACTGCAAAATGTGTACTCTTGGTATATACAACGTTATCACTTGTGTGCTAGAAGCAGTGTTCCTGTATTCCATTAGCTATGTATCTCTTGATTGTGATGGCATCCAGCTGTGTACATAGGTCAAAACTTACCTAATTGTGCATCTTAAATATGTGCAGTTTATTGTATAACTCAGGAAATGTGTTTGCCATACATGCACATACACACACCTTTTGGTAGTTAAAACAGCTGCCATCTTTAAGAGGTATGCTTTTATTTGATGTGGTTTGGCCTTAGCTTTTGTTTGATCTTGGCTTATTTGCCTGGGTTTCTCAAAATGTAGCAGCATTTCAAGCGTGAGTAGAGCAAGTCACCCAGGTCGGCAGTCTGTCCTGCACTGATGGTCCTGTGAACCCACAGGAACTTGCCTTGTTTGTAGAGTGTGGGAGAGTGTGGGACGTGGGCTGTGCTTCTGGCATACCTTTATTTTGAAGTTAAAAACACCTGGAATGTTGCCAGGGTTTTAGAGCTAGCAACGCAGCCTTAAATTAGTTGAGTATTTCTAGAAAGGAAAGAAATCCTCGCTTTTATCCTTTTAAAAATAACTTTATTTCCATTCTTTTATTTGAAAGTGCTTGCCAAGTAGGAGCGAAGATTATTTATCTAGTAATCCAAAACGAATAAACCCAGACACATACTTTTTTAAGTGTCTTGATTTGATTGACTATAGAAGAGACTCTCCTAAAATATGACCTCTACGTGGCATCATCAGGAGAAAAAAATCCTTTTACAAAAAGCCAAGTTCTCAACTGGATTTTTCCACGTTGTTGCTCTATGTGTAGCGTATAGCCTGATAAAAGTTTTTAAATTAACCATAACAATATTATTTATGAATTCCCAGAAAATATTTTAAGGCATACAGTCGAGCTACAAGTGGATTATGAAAATTAATGAAAAGCCCAGTGTGAGGGCATATTTCGTATAATGTATGTAACTGCCTAGCTGACTTAGATAGTCTGATTAATAATTAACCTAAATAAACAATATAAAGTTATGTTAGAGATTGTTGGTTTTTTTCCCCTCCAAGTGAACTTTAGCCCAGTGAAAGACTGCCTACAGCAAAGTTCCGTGAGCCTGTGAAACTAGTTGGGGTCCCTTGTTCATCCTCAGGGATTTTCACATTGTCTTTTGAGGAGAGCATATAGTTCCAGAATCCATGCCATCCCTTAATCTTCTGTATTTGTGCCATTCAGCATTTAGGTTCCTGCTAGATTGCTGGATTATTGTTCTTACCAAGATTCCCTTTTTTTTTTTTTTTTTTTTTTTGAGTTGGAGTCTCATTCCATCACCCTTCCTGGAGTACAGTGGCATGCTCACGCCCACCCCCAGCGTCAACCTGCTGGGCTCCAGTGATCCTTCTGCCTCAGCCTTCCAAGTAGCCAGAACCACAAGTGACAAGTGTGTGCCACCACGCCCGGCTAATTTTTTTTTTTTTTTTTTTTTTTTTTTAGAGACGAGGTCTCGCCAATTGCCCGGGCTGGTCCTGGACCCACGGGCTCAGGCAATCCACTCGCCTCGGCCTCCCAAAGTGCTGGGATTACAGGCTGAGCCACCGAGCCCGGCTTCTTACCAAGTTTATTTACATGGTCTGGCTGACCTTCTGAAGAAATTTCCACTGCCAAGCTTTAACCTGCATTCCAAAAGAGGCAAATTTTTGTTCCAGTCTTTTAGGTGGCCCATGAATGTCTAATCCATATCACTTTTCCACCAATGTTTTCTGGATGATATTTTTTTCAAATGTGTACATATTCTGGAATTAGTAGTAGGCCATGTTCAACATTATACCTTTACATTTTATAATCATACTTTTCAAGTTGTCTTATTCATTAAAATTTTCATACTTTTGAAACGTGTGCTGAAAATTTATGTTGTATCTCCAGGTATTCTGCATGTTATGTCCTTTGAGTAAAGCAAGAAAGCTAATTAAATCCCCAAGAGCATGTGTAAAAAGCACCTACTTAGGTGTATTTCCTGATTTAGCACCATACTTTCTTACCAAGACACTTTAGATTTGATAACCTCTGAAGAGTAACATAGTCTTTGTGGAGAAGTGAGGTTGTAGTTGGTTTTTAAAGGACTGTGGAACATGCTTCACCACCAAATCCTGCTTGGCATATTATGCTGCAACCCTAAAGAGATTACGTAAATAAAGTCTACGCTAGTTCCATAAATATGCTTTAGATAGGTTTACATTCAGTTATCTAGGTCTAGATTCTGTAGTTTTTATTTTAAATATCATATAATTTTGAGTTACCAGGAAATTCATAGTTGTATAATAACTGATTCTACAAAGAGAAAATTTTAATCAGTAATTTGATTTTATATAATAAAATAATATCAAAAATTCTTTTCCTCCTGGCTAAACAAAATTTTCCTTTTATATTCACTGGGAAGAGCACCTTTCCGGAGCCTTTTACATTGAAATAAAATATTTTGTGATTTACTAGGAAGTCAAATTGTTATGCTTGAAACAAGGAAGAGCAGTAACCTGTTTCCAAAAGCAGAACAGAAACTTTCTGACAACTGCTTTGTTTCCAGTGAATGTTGGCATATCTTACTTTGTGAGGTAATTCTATCTTCGGCCCAACAGGAGACTCTTTGTACTGTCTTTACTAACTGGAAAGGAATGCCTGTGCTGGCCCCCACACACGCGTGTGTCAGTCAAGACGCACAGATGTCCGTGGGGGAGGCATCCACACATGTCCTTGGCCGCACAGCCTGCGCCATCCTACTTTATCCCTCGGAGGTGTCTTTCAGTTCATTGGACACTTGCATGTTGGTGGCTTCATATTCAGAGTTTTACTTGAGAGTTGACTATTCAAAGTTTTGCTTTGAGGGTTACAGGGTTGGTCTTCCACTCCGCCTCCAAAGGCTCCCAAGTTCTCAGTTCCTTGATTATCTGCAGAGTCTCCTGAGTGGTGCCCCTTCCCTTCTGACAGACGCGGGTGTGTTTAGAAGCCTTAGTGCGTCTAATTGCTGCTTTGGATAGACGAATCATTCCAGTTTTTTCCAAATGACTTTAACTTTTTCTGCCAGTTTGTTCTTAAACTCTTTGAAGGCATTATTTTTACTCAGCTTCCTCTTAGTCATGTCAAAGAATTTTTAGAAAAAGTGTTTCTTCTGTTACTTTTAAATAATAATTTTAAATTATGTATCCTTCTGAATTCTCATCAAAATTATTTTGTTAAGTATGCCTCCGTTGTCAAAGGCACCAAATACAAACAAATAATTATGCTCCATAGACACTACAAAGAATAAATTACCTGCCTGTTTTATGCTCTGGTAATTTTTTTTTTTTTTTGAGTTAGAGTCTTACTCTGTCGCCTAGGCTGAAGAGCAATGGCACACTCACGGCCACCACAGCCTCGCCCTGCTGGGCTCACACAGTCCTCCCACCTCAGCCTTCCAAATAGCTGGAACTACAGGCACGCGCTACCATGCCTGGCTAATTTTTAAAATTATTTGTTGTAGCGACGAGGTCTAGCCAAGTTGCTCAGGCTGGTCTTGAGCCCCTGGGCTCTGGCAGTCCTCTCACCTCAGTCTCCCAAAGTGCTAGAATTACAGGCTTGAGCCACCGTGCCTGGCCCTCTGGCATTCTTAATTTTAATAACTGTATGAGTCACCTGATGGCATGCATCCATTTTTCTAACAATAAAGTTAGACTAATGCAATTTTTGTAAGTTTTTTGAAGTCCTTGAAGGATAAGCGATGTTTGCTATATTATTACCGTCTTAAAAAGCAATACGTGGGCCGGGTTCTGTGGCTCAGCCTGTAATCCCAGTGCTTTGGGAGGCCGAGGTGAGTGGATTGCCTGAGCCCGCGGGTTCGAGACCCACCTGGGCAACTTGGCAAGACCTCATCTCTACAATAAAAATCAAAAAATGAGCTAGACATGGTAGTGCGTGCCTGTAGTTCTAGCTACTTGGAAGGCTGAGGAGGAAGGATTGCGGGAGCCCAGCAGGTCAAGGCTGCGGTGGCCAGAAGCGTTCCACTGCACTCCTGTCTGCGCAGAACTCCAAAAACAAGCAGTATGTGCAGAATAATGTTTCTTAACTTGTGTCGATTTTTACTTTAAGTCGATGAGCTAATCTATGAGAGAAGACCGAATTACGAATCGCAGCGCTCGTGCCCGAAGTGCCTCCATCCTGTGGCATTCCCCCCAGAGGCTGCTCGTGACAGCTCACACGTGACCTGTGGCGAGCCCTGGCTACGCATTTGCTCTTCGAGGCGCCTTGACAGGAGGAGTGCTACTCTTCACCCCGTGGTACAGATGAGGACACTGAGGTGCAGGGTGGACCCTAGCACACAGTGGGGCCAGGATGTGTACCCAGTCAGGCTGATTCCGCAACTGGAGAGCTCTCTAACTCCTCCCTCCTTTGGCATCAACACCTTTTGGCCCATCCCACTGTCAGATGTGTTTATTTCAAGATCGAATCCTCTCACTGAAGCAGTTAGGAACAAAATGATCTAATGTCTGAGATTTGTTTGCAAATATTTAAGTAGGGGCAGAAATGAAACAAATTGTCATGCCAAAAACTGTAGAAGCTGAGTGATAGATACGTGGATCCATGATGCCATTCTCTACTTTAGTATATGTTTGAAATTTTTCGTCGTAATAAGGCTTCTTAAAAAACTTAATCACAACATTAAACTAACAAGTTCTAAAGGGTTTTAGGAACTTATTTCTTTGTTATGTTCTCAAAATAATAGGCAAATAATTGGCCTTTCTTACAACCTTTATTTTTTAGTAAGTTACTGCTACTCAATAGTGCTCTTACTGTTTTAAAATAAAGAACAACATTTATGTTCACAGTTCCATGTTTCTATATTTTATAATGTACAAAAATTGTTTGGTGAGAAGGCTTGTATGAAATCTTTGCACCCAATTACATTTAGTGTAATCTGATTTTGTTTTTATAGGAGCCAAGCAATAAAAGAGTTCGACCTCTAGCTCGGGTCACATCCTTGGCCAATTTAATCTCTCCTGTAAGAAATGGAGCAGTCAGACGTTTTGGTCAAACAATACAGGTAAAAAATCATGGAGGAAGAGTAATGTAAGTCAGGGGACTTGCTATAGAAACCTAGAATTTGTCATTTTCTTTAAGCTGTGCAAACACGTTTGCACTATTATAAACATAAGTTTTCTTTTTGGAATATGCTAGTAAGGAATATTTTTTTACCAGAACAAATGTTTGTATAATCTCATTATAGTAATTTGCATCTTATATCAATAGGTAGCCTTGGCTAGTTTTTATTCCCAAAAAGTAATTTTGGCTGACAAGTATTTTAGAACGATAGGTTAAAACTCTACATTGAGAAATTCTCAGGATTTTATTTTCAATTTGTCTTTTTTCACTTGAAAGACGAAAAGAGAACTGTTTCCTCCAAATTTTATTTTCTCTTTTGTTCACCTTTTTTAAAGTCATTTGCCCTTCGTGGTGACCACAGATCCCCGGCCTCTGTCCAGAAGTCATTTAGCAGGTCGACAGTCCCAACACCTGCCAAAAGAAGGAGCAGTGTGCTATGGTCGGAGATGCTGGACACCAGCACGAAGGAGTCTCTAACCACCAGGGAAATCAAACGGCAGGAGGTATGCTGGCCCTCAGCCCAAGGCCATCTTCATGGCTCTGTACTACAAAAAGACCCATTTTTAAACATTTGTTTTGCCAGAAGAAAGCACACTGATGCCTATGGGCAGAATTAACTTGCACTTTGTATTTGAGCAACAATTCAAAGCACACGGTGAGCAGCACTTTGTGATGGTTGGTAGTCTTCAAAGTAAACAACTCTGGTGGAGTAAAATTATAAAACATATGGCAACCTCTTATTTGAGATTCCATTCTGAGCTGCTGTTCAAAACATCAGTTAAATAATGTTAATATCAATTGTATATAATTTTCTTTCTCAAAGGAAGGGATGACCTCTGATGTTTGCTGGATATTTTTTAGGCAATATATGAAATGTCCCGGGGTGAACAAGATTTAATTGAAGATCTCAAGCTTGCAAGAAAGGTCAGTAAATAACTTCTTATTAGATGCACTCGTTTTTAAAAATTATATTTTACAAATTCTAAAGGATAGTTTTCTTAATGTTTAGAAGTAGAACAATAGAAAATATACTGGTGAATGCATTTTTTAGATGTGGTCTAGACATATCTCTTCACATATGATTACTAGTAAGAGATTTATTTGGGGATTAATTCATACTTTCTTTTATGTGTAGCAAGCAGAGTCCACGCTAGCTTTTATATAATTAGTCCTGTTTGCATCCAAATATAGAGCTCTTGTGTTTGCTGTGCTCGATCTCTTGTGTGACACATTCCTCTCCTCTGACAGGCCTACCATGACCCCATGTTAAAGTTGTCCATCATGTCGGAAGAGGAACTCACACACATATTTGGTGATCTGGACTCATACATACCTCTGCACGAAGGTTAGAGATGCTACTTGATTTCTTTGTGTCTCCACAGCAGAAGCACAAGTCATTTTAAATCTAAATTTCGAACGTAGTACAGACCTGTTTCTTAAATAAACCTATCGTTGCTCTTTCTACTTTTTTATCATGTCAGATTTACTGGCAAGAATAGCAGAAGCAACCAAGCCTGATGGAACAGTGGAGCAGATCGGCCACATTCTTGTGAACTGGGTACGTAGGGAGTTGTTGGCCTCGGATACAGTTTGTTATAGACAGCCATGTTGTAATTTCGGATGGATGCCAGAGCAGTTGTATCCCATAATTGCATTCTACAAACAAATAAGGCATTAAAACCAAACAGATGGACAGTAATAAGTTACAGTCTGTTTTTACTTTATTAATGGTATAGTTTCATTTGTGTGACAAATATGTTTCTGCCAGGACAGAATGTCCACAGTATATGAAATTAGCCATCTGTCGCATTCTTTCCCTCATGTCTGAGCACCCATCCAATGCTGGGCGTCATTTGAGGAGTGAGAGCATAGCCGAGCATACAGTCTCAGGACTGGGGGTGAATGTGACAGGATGCTCAGGTGTCCTGGGATCCCAGGCAGAGTGCTAGCATCTCTGTGGTGGGAGGACGTTGAAGTCATGAGTCTTCCGCTGGATATAGCCAAGTTAGGAAGATTTGAAGAGTATTCTGAGGTTTCCCTGGAATACTAGTCTGCCGCCATCATTATCCACAGGAAGATGTCCAGAGCATGTTAAAACTCTCAAAAATAGCTGTATGTTTTGTGTTTCCTGTTCACAGGCTCGTTGATGCGCTCAGCTGTAACAAGAGTGCATCATGCTTTTCTCTTATTGCTCTTTAGTTACCAGGCTTGAACGCCTACAAAGGCTATTGCAGTAACCAGCTGGCAGCCAAGGCGCTTCTTGATCAAAAGAAACAGGATCCAAGAGTCCAGGACTTCCTCCAACGATGTCTGGAGTCTCCCTTCAGTCGAAAACTAGATCTTTGGAGCTTCCTAGATATTCCTCGTAGTCGCCTGGTGAAATACCCTTTACTGCTCAGAGAAATTATCAGGCACACTCCAAATGACCACCCTGATGTTCAGCTTCTGGAGGATGCTGTAAGTGGTTCAGTAACTGACTCTTGCTTTCCAGAAAGTTCTAAAATGATACCCTCCAATCTTGTGTATTGAAAATTTGCCCATAGTGAGGTGTTTTGATGCTTTAAGTACCCAGTGCATCTGAACACAGTGCACCAAGCAGTAAGGAGGTGTGCCTTGGACAAATCACCCAGTTTGCCTGGGACCATTTCTTCATCTGTCAGATGAGGAAGGACTCTGACAGATTAACTGATTTCTAGAGTCCCTCCAAGCTTTAAAATTCTTCCACTGCCTGTGACATTTTTGCCCTGTGGGAAGCAGATTGAGTTAATATGCTGAAGTTGTTCCTTCAATGTTTTGATGGTTTTCAGATACTGATAATTCAAGGAGTCCTCTCTGATATCAACTTGAAGAAAGGGGAGTCCGAGTGCCAGTATTACATCGACAAGCTGGAGTACCTGGATGAAAAGCAGAGAGACCCGAGAATCGAAGCGAGCAGGGCACTGCTCTGCCACGGGGAGCTGCGGAACAAGAGTGGACACGTACGTGCGGGGGCGTGGCTTCCCCTTCCCACCGGGGTCCCTTTTGCACTCAGAGGACGAAGCGGGTGTGTGAGAGTAGCCTTGTGATGTGCTGGAAGAAGGTGACTGAGCTTTATTTCATGATAACCAGCGTGGACTTCTGGAGCTACAGAATCAGTACTAGGGCTCACGTGTCTCAGGGGAGAATCAGCAATACTTGATGTTTTAGTATTGAAGCACAAATCAACTTGTCTGACTAGGGGTTCCTTTCCAAGTACTCTGCTAGTTCCATAATGCTTAGTTCAGAAGTGTATCCTTCAAAACATTTTTGAAGCATTTACTTTTTAGTTATGGAAGGAGTTTTTAGCACTGCTCAATAAATTTCTGAAGCAAATTGGAATCAAATTTATCTTTTGTGTTTAAAATGCTAATTACGAAGTTACCTGCTAGAACTAAGTACAATCATGAAATGGCATTTTTCTTTCATTATGTGCTTTTCAGAAACCCAATGTATAAGTTGGGTTTTTGTTTTGTTTAAGAAAAAGTTGAAATCTAACATCTCTGATTTTCCTCATGAGGCCTAGGCCTAATTGTTCTACAAAGGCTTAAATCTGTGTGGGACAAAATGGAACCATTTTGAATTTTTTAAATCCCTAGTTTGTTAAAAAAAAAAAAAAAGCTATGGCATACAATACTGGTGTCTCAAGTCATGTTACTACTGATAGTCAGGTCTTTGTGATGCACGGCTTTACTGAATCTGTTATTACACACCAATAAAAAGTTTTATGAAATCTAAGACTAGAAAAACTTCCCAAGTAGAACATGCACAGCCTTGAGATGACCATCTTGATGAGGACCTTTGTAAGGGAGATCTTAGAAAACAAACTTTACCAAGTTAATAATGTCCAATCAAGTTATATTAACAATATATTTCTGCCACTTAAAATCGCGGAGTTCCATAGTTACAGAGCATTTGTTTTCTGCTTTTTCAGAAACTTTATGTTTTCCTGTTTCAAGACATCTTGGTTCTGACTCGGCCTGTCACTCGGAATGAGCGGCATTCTTACCAGGTTTACCGGCAGCCAATCCCAGTGCAAGAGCTGGTCTTAGAAGACCTCCAGGATGGAGATGTGCGGATGGGGGGGTCCTTTCGAGGGGCTTTCAGTAACTCAGATAAAGGTAAACTACAACTTCGATAAACGTAAAATCTAAGAAGTAATAGGACTTAATTTAACGTGCTCACCTAATTGACTGTGTGTTACGCCCATGCTAGCACCCATGCTAAGACTGCAGGACTGCTTTCTCTAGGACTATCTTATTAAGTCTGATTTTCTTTTTCAATTGCGATTTTTCCAGCTAAAAATATCTTCAGAGTTCGCTTCCAAGACCCCTGTCCAGGCCAGTCTCACACTCTGCAAGCCAATGACGTGTTCCACAAGCAGCAGTGGTTCAACTGTATCCGAGCCGCCGTAGCCCCTTTCCAGCAGGCGGCCAGTCCGCCGGAGCTCCAGGGCCTGCCAGAGCTGCATGAAGAGTGTGAGGAGAACAGCCCCTCTGCCGGGAACCTCCACACCCAGAGGAGGGTGTCCACGGTCTCCAGTACCCCTCAGGGGGAAGTGGATGAGAACGCCTACGAGTGTGGCTCCAGGGTGCGGGTAGCAGAGGATGGCAGGAGAGGAAAGGCGCTCCAGGCACAGCCCGGCATCCGGAGAGTAAGGGACAAAGCCCAGGCCAGTGGCAAGCGGAAAGAGACCTTGGTGTAGAGGAGGCGCTGTGTGCCACATGGTGGAGAGACTGTTTATTTATAAATGTGTACAGTTTTTTCTCGTAATGTGAGCATGGGAGCACCGTAGGTTACATTATGCCAGTTGTAACATTTTCATTGTTTTTGGTTGTTCTTTTTCTTTTTTTTTAATGGCAGCTAAAGATACTCAGATTATTGTTAAATTGCAGTCTTTTTTAAAGATATTTTCTTGGATCATTTAGAATATGCAAGCCTGGTATTTTTAATCAAATGAAATATTTACAAAATGGGTTTTCTTCTAATTCTGGATTCATCATGACCTTCTAATATCTACCAACTGATATTTACAGTATTCACCGTCATTTAAAATTTGCAAATTCTGGAGTTCTACCAGTTTCCTTGATAAATCTTGTAAGCAGAATTTGACATTTTCACATTGGCACCCAAAATTGACATGGAATAATGTATGTTTGGAGTATTTCAAATTTGCATGGAAACATAACTTCCTTGGAAAACAAACCATAAGCTTTTGTAGGTTTTACATTTTATCAACTGGAATGATTTATATAGTTTTTCACTGCACATTCCTCATTTTTCATTCATTTAACCTGCCGATTATTTAATTTTTTTTATTGTAAAGTAGTTTTTAGTATTTGCTTTTATTTTTTTACTTTGATGCCTTTTCAAAGTGGCATGTCTTTATTTTTCTTCCTGATTAAAAATGTGTGTGTATGTGTGTGTATATATATATACATATATATTTTTTAATCATATTAACTTTACCATGTAAAACCAAGCCATACTGTTTTTGAGCCAATTAAGACAATTACAGTTTTTAAAGTGTAGCATTTCAGGGTAAAGACACATGAAATGAGTCATTCTCAACTACCATAAGAAAACAACTTCAAGGGTTTTGTTGAAAGTTTTAGTGTCGACTGAGAAGCAGAGGGAAGGCGATTGGTAATAAGTGAAAAAAAGGGGGGAAGAGAGTAGTTTTGTCTTCAAGTAAAATGTCTGGTTGTGCCAGAGCATGAAAGGAGATAGAAGCTTGAGGGTGTGTAGTAAGTTGTAGAAGGTTCGAGGGGACGTGGACTTTATTTGCCTTGGTTTACAAAACCTGCAGATACTGAGTTTGAAAAGAAACAGTGAAATGTGTTGAGAAGTGGGCCACATTAGATCAATTTCGGTGGGTTTATTCATAAGATGGAAAAAAGACTGGTGAATCTTTTTCTGCGAAATATTTCTGTTACAGTGGGTCATAGGCTTCAAAAGGGGGATGGGAGAAGGACCCTTTGTCATGGCAGGTTTACAATGGTGATCAGTTCAAGTCGGCGTCAACTGTTATGTGAAATATATTTGGCCAGTGGAAATGAAGATTGGAAAAGACTGTAAATAGATCAACCAAATGATTTCTCTGTATAAATGAATGATACCATTAAAAAAAAAAAAAAGCACACACATAATCACCCTAAAGGTTTCTTGCCTGGTGGATATTTTGGGGGCATTTGCCAGAATATGCTGATGTCAAAGGAGGTAATGGCAAGCCTCACAAAAGTTTCTAAAAATTATAAATAGTTAAGCCTTTGACAGTCATTGATGAGTAAGAGAGAGGTTCAACCAGGTCAAGTCTTGTGAGTCTTAGGAAATCTTTTACGAGCAATGTCATCAGAAGTAGGAATTGTATGTAGTGAAGACGTGGAACATCTGGCCACTTTCTGGTTGCGACAGTTAAGCTAGTGGCAAAGCATCCTCATTTAATTATTTCAGATTTTAGTTTCAGTATCTCAGGTTCCTAACTTCGGAAATTCAGAAGCGCATATGACACCAAGGAAGCACCAGAAAGCAAAATTTCTAATCATTTCTAGGGGTGTTCTACAGAATATAAGACATTACAGAAGCAAGTTGTAGTTCAGCTGTTGTTAAGGGAAGGTTGTTTTATTTAAAATTTTTTCTTCCTTTGATTCCCTCAAGGAAAAAAGTAGGATCCAGAAACTGGGTAAATCTATGCAGTGAATATTCTTCAGAAATAACATCCGTGTCTGAGAGCATTTAGTGATCTAGCCCAGGAATTCTCAAACCTGTTTGGGCATCACAGTCACCAGGGCTGCTTTCAAAGGCGGGGGCTGGACCTTGCCTCCTAGCCCCCACACTTGCACAGCACTTCCCTGAATCCAGATCTGGGGTGAGGGCAGTGGGGTGGAGGGCTGACCACGGATAGCTGAAACACTCCCTCCTTGTAGATCGGATGCAGTGGATTCCTCGGTTGGTGTTCAGTAATCAGTAATTTGCCAGCCCCCTTATGTCAATGCAACGTGGTAAGTCTTAGCATGTGTCCATTCTCTTCCCAGTTTGCCTTAACCTGTTCAGGGTTAGAGCTAAAGAGAGTCTAATCTCCCTTCTTTTTTACCTCCTCCTAATGGGTATGCTGACATGTTTTCAGCAAAGGATAGTCTCTGCCCAGAAGGTCTTCTTAATCTCAGAGCTCCATCTGGGAAACCAGGTCATCTGGCTAGCCATCAAAGGATAACAGCCAAATCACCTTGGGGCCTATCTATTGGGAAACATCTCCTTAACCGAAGGTATTCAGCCGCCTTTGTGCTAGCTGGGTCGACCTTGTGTTCTGTGCTCTGAATATGCAGCGCTAGCCTGATGTGCTGGTTTGTTTCCAGTATGTCCAGCTGTAATGCCCTTAATTTTCCAAGCGCCAGAAAATACCTAGTTAAGGCTGTCATCTGTGAAGCTTGACAGACCCAAAACAGCCCCGTCCTTTTGGTTTGTGTTCATTATGCTCCTCGGCTGAAACTGCTTCCTGTCCCTAAGATGAAACAGGTTGGTAAGAAGTATGTCCGTTACGTTTAGACATCCTAGGGATTCCAAGAGAACATCTACAGAAGGGTAGTACCCCTTTGTCCATGGAATCTAATTCCCGTGGGAGGAATGCCCTAGCAAATGAATCTCCCTAAATCCAGAGGAGTTTCGATTTTTTCACATATCTGAGCCATCCCAGAACCAACCTCAGACTGCGGCCTCTCCTGGAGAGACAGTGCGCAAGGCCGCTGGTGCTTGCACTTCTTCAGAACCTGAGTATTTAAGATTCTCATAAAAGCTATGGACTGTGTGCCCAGGAAGGTGAGTGTATCCACATCCACAGGACCACAGAGCTGCAGGGATGCTCCCCAACCCCCCATGGACTCCACATGGAGATTTGCTCGTCTGTCCCACCCGGGACTCAAGGGCATCTGCAAGAGATCATTCCTGTGGGTCCTCGGTGTACCCACATCACACTTGTTTTATCAACAACAGTTGAGACCGGGGCACAGCAGCTCAGCCTGTTTCCCAGCACTTTGGGAGGCCGAGACAAGGGGATTGCCGGAGCCCACAGATTCGAGACCAGCCTGGGCAACTTGGTGAATCCTCATCTCTACAGCAAAAAAGAAAAATTAGCCAGGCATGGTAACACACGCCTGTAGTTCTAGCTACTTGGAAGGCTAAGGCGGAAGGATCGCTGGAGCCCCGCAGGTCGACACTGGGGTGGCCATGAGCGTGCCACTGCATTCCAGCCTGGGCAACAGAGTGAGACTCCAACTGAAAAAAAAAAAAAAAAGAATAGTTGAAAACTTTCATCTTCCACACAGTTCTAGCTGGTCTTCTAAGTCACACTGGTGACACATGCAACTGTTCTGACTATAACCGGGATAATAGAAACCTGTCAAGGAAGTTCTTTGTAAAGTACTTTCGGTTTGGTACCACATAGTCCTAGCTTCAGAATACTTCCCCCTTCTAAACCATTTTGCTCCAGAAATGTCCCTCTCTGCTTTCCCAGATGAGCTACTCGTGAGATGAGTTCAACCAAGTGTCTCCTCAGCATGAAATGATGCTATCCAGTAACTCAGTGCACAGGTGTCCCGTGAGGAATGGGATAGTGGTTTAAAAGTACTTGAGACAATAAGTGCATAGATGAGGATAATAACTGCAGTGGATTGAAATACATCAAGTTGTCAAATCTGTGACTACATAATGATTCTTTAAAAATTGCAGTCCCCCTTGGAGTATCCCAGGGAATCCATGCGTCGCTTTGAAAATTAGTAGACAAAAAGAATCTTACACTTTCCTCTACAGTCTGCCCCTCAGGGTAACCAAGTAGCTAATGAAGGGAACCATCTCTGTACAGTACTAACCTGGCTCGTCAATGAAGAAATGGGAGAACCCTCATCCTGTAACCCCAGTGGGTTGATGGGTCATGAAAAAAGACAGGACGGGCACTGCTGCTGCTGAGGGGCGTGCATCCCACCCAAGCAGTCCTGCCAGGAAGGTCACACTGAATCTGATCTGGAGACCAGTGACAGTTTCCTCAACAAACAGAAACTGGAAAAAAGAGATGGAAGGGGCTCTTTGACTTTAGAGACGTATCAAACAGTTGCAATGCATTTGGGACTAAGTCAAGCATTTAAAATCAAGAAAATATTGAGCACTGAGTGTATATTTTATTTATTTTCTTTTCTGGAGACAAGGCCTCATTATGTTGCCCAGGCTGGTCTCCAACTCCTGAGCTCAAGCGATCCTCCCACCTCGGCCTCCCAAAGTGCTGGGATTACAGGCGTGGGCCACTGTGCCTGGCCAAGTGTATTATTTAAGGTCAAGCATTACTGTTACATTTTTGTGTTTTACTATGGTAGTATGATTAGGGTCCTAGAGGCATTCACTGAAATATTTTTTGGATAAAGTTGAATGGTGTTGAGATTTTCTTCAAAATTATGGGGCAGGAGAATAGCGAGACAAAAATAAAATTGGCCACAAATTATGAATCGCTGAAGCTTGACGGGGCGTGGTGGCTCACGCCAGTAATCCCAGCACTTTGGGAGGCTGAGACAGGAGAATCGCTTGAGCCCAGGAGTTTGAGACCAGACTGGGAAACACAGCAAGACCTTGTCTCTGCAAAACAAACTAGCCAGGCATGAAGGTGCGCACCTGTAGTCCCAGCTACTAGGAAGGCTGAGGCGGAAGGATTGCCTGAGTCTCGGAAGTCAAGTCTGAAGTGAACTGTGATCATGAGCTACGGGGAATGGATTGACGAGTTGAGAGAGGAGTCTGGGGGCTCAGCAGGGTGTCAGAGTGAGACGCTGACTCAAAAAGAAGTTGCCGAAACTGGGTGAGAAATACAGGGAATTCATTATACTCTTTACGTGTTTTTTTGCTCGTTTTGTTTTTAGAGACAAGGTCCTGCTTTGTCCTCCACCCTGGGGAGCAGTGTGTACAATCATAGCTTACTGCAGCCACAAACGCCTGGGCTCAAGAGATCCTCCTGCCTCAGCATTTCGAGTAGTTGGGACTACAGGCCTGTGCCACCACACTGGCCGGAAATTCTCTTTATTTTTCTATTTTAAAGATGTGGGGTACAATTCAGAGTTGGCTATGCAAATGTTCATTATGCAGGTACCCTTGTGGCCTGAAAAAGTGAAAATGAAAAGCCTGGCATGGTGGCGCCCAACAGCGGTCCCAGCTACTTGGGAGGCTGAGGCAGGAGGATCTCTTAAGACCAGGAGTTTGAGGCTGCAGTGAGCTCTGATTGTGCCTGTGAATACCCATGGCACTCCAGCCTGGACAATGTAGAACTATCTCTTAAGAAAAGAAAAAGAGAAGAAGAATTCATGGAGTTCTTGGTATGTAGTATGCTCCCAGCTCTCCAGCCTCTTCCCTCCCTCCAAGCCACCAGCCTTGCATTTCAAAATGCTGCATTTGCTATCCACCATCTTACCCAGAAACGCAGACCCTCTGCCTGAATTCCGCCCTCGCCATCCTCTCCCTGACCACTTGGCTGTTGTGTTAGGCTAGTCTGAATGCTGTTTAATTAACGGTTTAATTATTCTTTAATTCGCAAAATGCTGTTTGAATGACAGTCCTCTTCCTCCCTCTCCTCGCCTTCCTGTCTCTCTCCCTCTGCCGTCATCTGTCTCCTCTGCCTACACCTTGGGACTGAGGCAAAGAGAAAGCTCAGATGGAGTTCCAGGTCGCCAGGAGACAACTCCAATCGGCCAACCCTAGGATTTCCACCCAGGGCCAGTTCGCTAGCTGCGTTTCTGGCTTCTGAGAAAGGAGATGGCGTAACGACATCTGGTCCTGTTTGTGCTGTGGAGTAGGCTTTGCTGGATTCAGGGAAATCTGGTGATCTCCCGCAGAATCCAGATTTCCTAACCGACGCTTCTGGCGGCAGGTGGGAGGATGTTCGTTTCCCTCTTTCATGGAGCAGGACAAACCGGACAGATCTCTCGCATAAAAGTCACACAGATTATCTAGTCTGATCCCCTCTTAACCAGTTGAGGAATCTGAAATCTACAAACATAAGCGACTTGCCCATGGTGGGCTTGTGGCAAAGCTAGGAGTAAACGCATCTGCGCTCCTCCTGATGTCTGTCCCCCTTCCCAACCAAACCCGTCCCTCCAGGCACAGAAGTCCCCACTTCCGCCCAGCCTGCC